TTTGAAACTAATTTGAATAAATAAATTTATTTTAAAAAAAGAAGTACAAATTAGTAGATGATAGTTGGTCACGGGGTAGGGGAGCATGGCAGAGGGAATGCAATTAGAATGCAATTAATATGATGGCTAGATGGAGGGCCCGAGGAGGGAGGGAACAAATGTGGGGATCATTTTATGAACTATATAGATGTCTAACCAATGTATTGTATACTTGAAACATTCAAATAAATAAATTTTAAAAAATTTTAAAAATATAGAAATCATATAGAATATGTTCTCTGATCACAGTAGAATTAAGCTAGAATTCAATATGAAAAAGATACAGAAAAATATCAGTGAAATTAGAAATGAAGAAAGACAATTATAAATAACCCATGGTCAAAGATAATGATCACGATGGAAATTAGAATATAGAATAAAATGTGTATCATAAAAATAACTGATATAAAAATGTGTGGGATGCAGTTAAAGTAGTGAAAACGGAAATTCAACCTGTAAATACATATTCAACAAAGAACAAAATCTAAAAACTGAAAAATTAAGTATCTAAGCATCGGTTTCAAAAAACTGTTAATAAAAAATAATTTAAATCCAAAGAATGTAAAAAGAAAAAAAGAAATATGGAACAAGGAGAATTCAATAAAATTGAAAATATATAATATGGCAAGAAAAAAAGATATGTATTAGAAGAGAAATAAATTATTTTTCACAGATGACATGACTGTATATAAAGAACATCTGAAAGGCTTCACAGAAACTGTTACAACTTAGTGAATTTAACAAGATTTCTGAATACAAAGTCAGACTATCCAAGTCAATTCCTTTTCTACAATTGCATATCAAAACAAACAATAAATAAATAACAAATTTTAAAAGGACACTATAATAACAAAAATCAAATATTTGTAATAAATCTAAGAATGTGTAAGATGTATACCAGTAAACTATAAAATATTATTGACAGAATTTAAAGACTTAGATAAATGGAGGGGCACATAATGTTTGTGGATTGAGACTAAATATTGAAAGGTGTCAGTTCTCCCTCAGATTGATCTATTAATGTAATACAATGTTGATAAAAATGCCAGTAAGGTTTGTTTTGTGGAAATTGTTAAGCTGACTCTAAAATTTATATGAAAATACCAACGGTGAAGAATAGCCAGATCATTTCAAATAAGAACAAAGTGGCAATCTAATGAATATAATAATTCTGATAAAGCTACAAGAATTAAAATAATGTGACATTGGCATGATGTTAGACACATAATAGAGTGGTCAGAAATGATACTTGTTTGTGAAGGTGACATTGTAGAGCAGTGAAAAAATGATGGTCTTTTTAATGAATGTTGCTAGGTCAAGTGGATGCCCATATTAAAATAAAATAATTAATCCCTAACATGTAGCATACATAAAAATCAGTTCCAGGTATATTCTAAGTCTAAGGGTAAAAGCTGAAACAATAACAATTATAAAAGATAACATAGGCAGATAGTTTCATGAGACAGGAGTTAGAGAAAATTTTCTTTAGCAGGATACAGAAAAAATCCCACTAATCATACAGGAAAAGATAAACAAATTGAGGTACTAAAACTTAGATATTTCTGCTCATCAAATGACACCATTAAGCAAATGAAAAGGCAAGTCAAAAGGTGGGTGAAGATATTTGAAACACAAGTGGCAGCTTGTATGCAGAACATATAAAGAACGCCTTCTAATCAGTAAAAGACAGACAATTCAAAGGAAAAAAATAGGCAAGGCACTTGAACTAGCACTTTACAAAATAAGATGTTCAATAAACTGTGAAAATATTCTCATTTTCATTAGTAGTAAATATGCAAATTAAATCCACTCCATACCCAGCAAAATCACAAAAATGAAAAAAAAAAGTGTTGGTAAAATGTGAAGTAACTGTGACTCTCATGCATTGCTAGTGAGAGGGTAACTTGGCACAACCACTTTGGAAACTATTTGGCATCATCTACTGAAGTTGAACATATGCATATTCTATGGCCCAGGAATTTTACTCCTATGTATATATCCATTAGAAATACACACACATGCACCAAGAGACATACGCAAGAATATTTACAATAACATTATTTGTGAGATGAAAACTTGAAAACATCCCAAATATCCGTCAATGATACAACAGTATATAAATCATGATCTATTTATAAAATATATCATAAAACAGTGAAAATGAATAGATAACTGCTATATGCAACAAAAATGGATTAGTCTCACAAATGTAATGTTAACCAAAATACATTATAAACAAATACACAGTATATAACTCAATTTATACAAAATACAGATGGTCCCCGACTTACGATGTTTCCACTTATGTTTTGACTTTACGATGGTGTAAAAGCAATATGCATACTAAATCACGTAAGATGTTTAACACATTATTATAAAATAGGCTTCGTGTTAAATGATTTTGCCCAACTGTGGGCTAATGTAAGTGTTCTGAGCCCATTTAAGGTAGGCTAAGCTAAGCTATGATGTCTGGTGGATTAGGTATATTAAATGCATTTTTTACTTTTACAATATTTTCAACTTAAGATGGATTTATCTGGACATAACTCCATCGTAAGTCAAGGAGCAACTGAACAAAAAAAAATCAAAGCTCATCTATGGTGCTAGCAGGATAGTGATTATAGTTGGGGAATTAAAAGGGAGTAGTGATTGGGAGGAGGAATGAGAAAGACTTCTGGGATGTTAGTAATGTTTTATTTCTGCACCTGGTGATAGTTACACAGAAAATGTGATAATTTGCCAAGCTGTATACCAGTGCTTCTCAACCAGGGGCAACTTTTGCTCTTCATAAGACACTTAGCAATGTTTGGAGGAATTTTTCATTGTCATAACTGGAAAGGGGGAGGGTTGCTACTGGCACCTAGGGGGTAGAAGCCAGGGATGCTGCTAAACATCCTACAGTGCATGGGACAGTCCCCCATTCACTCCCCAGCAAAGAATCATATTGCCCCAAAATATCAGTAATGCTGAAATTGAGAAACCCTGTTGTACACTTGTTACTTGTGCCCTTTTGTGTACGTAAGTTAACTCGTTTTTGTTTTTGCTTTTTTTAAAAAGGCCACATGTACATGTATCCATAAAAAAAACAAAGAGGCTACTTTCTTTCCAAGTTTTCCTATTTCTATTTCTTTGTTTCTTGTTAATTTGATTTGATTTATCTTTTGCTGGTCATTAAGTGCTGAGAGGGACAAATGCTCCTGGAAAAATGTATGAAAGTAAAACTAAAATTGAGGACATTCTGCCCATTTATCTTTTCCTCTATGACTCATTATTTGACTATTCTGGAAGAGCTTTTACATCCAACTCTGAAATGCTAAATTAAGGGGAGCAGAGTTGGAGAAATCCATTACCCCACATGGAGACAAGCTTTCTAAGAAATGACCAGGGTCTAAAACAGCGACTTTTGCATTACTTATTTGAGTCACAGATGTATCACATTACTTTTAAGTAGAAAGCAAAGTGCATTATTGATACTTTTTCTGTATAAGTATATGGAGAAATATCCAAAGTAAATACTTTGATTTCATGGGAAAAATAGTAAGATATCCAGCATTATTTTTGCATCCTGATTTTGGATATGACTAAACTCAGTTTAGAAAATAAATACAAATTTCGACAAAGGCTACTTTGTAACCCATATGTCAATGATTCCATCAGTGTTCATTCCATCAGATCTGTTAAAGGGTGTTTGCTAATTAAAGGAAATACCAAAAGTAAATTACTTATGTAGGATAAAGAATGTAAGATGGTTGCTTAAGTAAATTAACGTATCCAAGGAAAGTAATAAAATAATTTAAATGGTTCATATTTTCAGAATTGCTTAACTCAATCCAGTGTCGAAACATAGTATGAATTGTTCAATTCAGGATCATTTTTATGGAAAACAATGCAATCACTAAATATAGGAATCCTCAATAGAACACAGTAGTCCTTAATCAGAGAAGCTGGAAGTGGAAAGTCACTTACTCTTACTTTTAAACTATTCACTTTCCTCTTGATGTAATCTCTTAACTCCTACAAGATGAGTTAGTAAGGAAGAAACATAAACTAAACTAAACCAAACCTAACCAAACCTACCAATCAACCCAACCTGAAGTGATGCCAGTATTCCCCACCTCAAACACAGGAAAGAGAGAGACCAACAGGGAGCTGCCTTGAAATTAGATCATTAGGCACCTCCCAGAGCAGAGGAGATGAAGGGACCTTGGGAGGAAGAAAACATATCAATTGATCCAGGGGGAGATTTCTCGAAAGGGTGAAGTTTGGTAGGCCCCCAGGAGGCATAGATATCGTATCACATATAGACTCTAGTTTAACTGAATCCAGGTTAGCAGAGTGAAACCCGTGGCAACTGCACACCCACAGGCTAAACACAAAGGTGAATGAAAAGGTTCTCAACCTTCATCCTTTCTCAAGTACTAGGTTTGGAAGAAATTTAGGAAATACTCTAGCTTTGCCCTTCAGCTGATATGAAAAGCAAGGTGAACATTTCAAATTTATCTTGCAGGTCACCCCAAATGTCTCAGAATGTCTCAGCGTAATTGTCTGTGCCTTCTGAGAAGCTATGTGGAGCCAAGTGGGCTTCTAAGAGAAGAAAGCTCATGCGTGGTTTTCAAATGCAGAGAAAAGACTTCATTCTATGAGGCTTCTAATTTTACTATATGTTATAGCTTTTGAAAATAAAAATACTGTTCTCTATTTCTCTCTCCCTCCCTCCCTCTCCATCCCCCCTTCTCTCTCTCTCTCTCTCTCTCTCTCTCTCTCTCTCTCATTCTCTTTCTCTTTGTCTCTCTCATCTCTCTCTGAAGGATGCCAAGAAAGCATTGTCGATCCTAGGATTGGTTCGGCTACACTTTTAATTACACATTCTATCCCTAAATTTTAAATACTCTTTCTTGTTTGCTTCTCCATGCCAGTCCCTTTACTCGTCAAATCTGATTTTCCAAACAAAGGCAACTCACGCGACTTTGGCACAGACAGTGCACTTCCAGCTGCCATCATATCCCGAAACGCGACATTCGCTGCACACTCTCAATGAGCAGGCCTGGCATGGATCTCCCCGGTCAAATATTAAGCCCAGGTTTCTCTGACAGTGGACACAGACTCTGCTGGTCTCTTGTTGAGTCTTCCCACTTCTACGTTTTGCTTCTAAGAGTTCATTTTTCAGTTTCCTGGAAAAAGAGAAAAAAAATCACATATCCGAAAAGATGTTTGCACACAGATGTTCATAGCAGCATTATTCACCGTGGCCAGGACATGGAAGCAACCGAAGTGTCCTACAATAGATGGTTGGCTAAAGAAGCAGTGATACATATATACAATGAAATATTACTCAGCCATAGAAGAGATGAAATATTGTCATTTGTGACAGTGTAGATGGACCTCAAGATAATCATGCTAAGGAAATGAGCCAGACAAAGTTGAAAACCACATGATATCACTTATATGTGGGATATAAACCTAAAACCAACAAGTGAATGGGATAAACAAAGACTCATGGACATGGACAATAGACTAGTGGTTACAAGAGGGTAGGGGTTGATAGAAGATGGGGGAGGTAGATGGGGTAAAAGGGGTCAAATATGTGGTGACAGAAAGAAATCTAACTATGGGTGGTGAACACACAGCGCAATATATATATATATGCCTTACTGTTGAATTGTACATCTGAAACTTCCTGGATTTCATTAACCAATGTCATCATAATAAAAATATAAATAGATAGATAAATAAATGTCTTAAATAGATTAAAATTATATGAAAAAATAAAATGAAGGAGACTAGCTATCTTTATTTAAGGAATGTTTTCATTTGGAAGAACATTTGAAAGAATCAAGGAATCAGAGCCAAATACTTTCAGAAAACACAATATCTCCCTCCAGAATCAACAATCTTTTGACATCAATACATGTTTGTGTTTTAATTCTGAATTTTGACATCCTTCACTAGCACTACTATTTTGCTGGTAGTATTTATTCACATTCGACTCTAACTTCTCCAGGATATCTTTGATACTATAACATTAGAACATAATCCTCCATCTGGAGATATAAACAACACCATGTTCTTTCTTGCCTAGATAAACTTTATGAGGCAAGAGTGAGAAATTAAGTTTGGCAACATTGTTACCCTGTGAGAGGCCTGCAGAGCCTGGCTGAATGCCTCTCCCCGCTCCAACTCCGTCTATCTCTGAGAGAATAGGTAGGGCCGTGATCAGCAGTTAAGAACTTGTCAAGACTAGCTGAAACCAGTCTAAACAAGATGACTGTCTAAATAACTTCCAAAAGATTTTAAAGTTCATAACAATCTCCACGCTAAACACACCTACCAGCGCCAGGACAGTTGACAATCGCCATGACAACGGCCGGAAGAGACCATTAAAAACAAAAAGAGGGTGGAAACATGATCCCAGGAAAGCTGGCCCTTCCCACTCCCAGCCCCGAAAATCCATGAATATTCCTCCTACCTATTTACTTAAACTTCTCCTTGATTTCTACTACTCTATTTAAGCCATTTCTCGACTGTTAAGAAGTGGATTTGAGAGTTGCGCTCCCTCTTCTCCATTCTCTGGCCATAGAATAAAAGCTTGCCCTGTTAATGCTCACTTTTGGTCTCCTAATTGGCTTTGTGACACTGAAGGGGAAAAGAACCCTGCTTGGGGTCCTCGAAAAGGGGACTCTTGTTCCTTGGTAACAATATGGGTACTTTCCTTAAGTCATCCAATGAAGAGTTAGCTACAAAGACATTGCCCGCGGTTCTAAATCTAAACCCTTTTACTTAGCATTTGAGGGTTTCCAACAATTTCCATTGACCTATGGGCTCTGCTATCAGACATGACTATGTTTGAATCCAGGTTCCATCATGAATTAGCTGTATGACCTTAGGCAGTGATTTACCTACTCAACTCTATCTCCTCATTTCTAAAATGGGGGGAGTAATACTCTTACATGATTGGTTTTAAGATTAAATGAAATAATATATGTAAAGTTACTAGCATGATTCCTGGCACATAGGTACTAAATAAATGCTATTTCCATGTCCCTTCTTTTGTTTTCTACCTGAAATGTAACCTAGATATATATATATATATATATATATACACACACACACACACACACACACACACACACACACACATATGTATATATATGTAAAATGTAACCTAGTCAAATATTATAAAATAGCTATTCAAAGTGTGGTCTTTGTTCTAGAAGTGTTGGCATCATCTGGGAGCTTGTTAGGAATGTCAGGGCCACACCTCAGACCTACTAGATTAGATTCTGCATTTTCACAAAATATCCAGGTGATTAGAGTTTGAGAAGCATAGCTCTGGAACATTTATTTTCACATTTGGCTATATATTGGCATATTATTAAAAATACTGATTCCCGAGTCTCGCCCTCACAGATCTTGATGTAACTGGGTTGGGATGTGGCTTACAGAATGATATTTTTAAAAGTTTCCTTATTTAATTTAGTATACTTCCAAATTTGGAAAACACTACTCTAGAAAATAGGTTCATTCCCAATTAAATGCTTCACAGACATGCCATTTCTTAACTCCATTCATCTCCAATCCCTTCGTCAACACAACATTTCTAACAAACATCCCAGAATCAACCCACACATCTCATATCATCCCCTTTTACATTTGTGTTACTGTGCTTTGTTATACCCAACTAGACTAGCATCTCCCCAAAGGGAGAAACAAGGACTTCAGTCTCTTATACATACTGTTTGGGACCCAATTCCATGCCAGATTAAATGGTACTTAAATGTTTAAAACTATTATCTCTTTTGGGCCTTCGAACTAACTTGTGAGGTATTATGAGTCTCACATTAAAGGTAGTATGCAGTATAGATAAAAACAGAAACCAGGTTTTTAATTTCTAGCCTAAGGAGAGATTCATAAATGGGGGATTTAAAAAGTGAGGAGTAAGATTTCCAAAACATGTGACTGTCTCATTCATTTAGCCAATGAATATTTATTGAGTACCTATTGTGTGCTAGGCATTCTGATACTCTGAGATAAAAATGAGTCAAAACAGGATATCTGTTAAGAATTTCCATTATCCTTGTTGTTAGTTGAGAAGACAAATGATGTAAGAGCCACAGAGAGCGCTCTAAAGTCCTCAATCTTTTATCTAAACACAAATGACAAAAACCCACAACACATGCTTTCCTAATCCCATACAAAGTACCCTCGTGTCCCTTTTATTCCATGATAAATGTCTCATAAAATTGTAAGAAAAGTTCCACACAATTTAGTTTTGAAAATCTGTAGAAGCTACAAGCATTAAAATAACAGGATAAGTTCTCATTTGAAGACAACTGTTTTATTTGGAGAAGTACAGCAGACATTTAAACACCTCAGGACACAGGAGAAATAAAACATTGCCTATTCAAAATGTATAACAATTTCCACCCTGGACGTGCCCTATCTTGTCTGATCTCGGAAGCTAAGCAGGGTCAGGCCTGGTTAGGACTTGGATGAGAGACCACCTAGGAATACCAAGTGCTGTAGGAGTAAAAAAAAAAAAAATGGAAAAAAAAAATAACAATTTGTGCAATAACGATAAAGAAACAAAGTAATCAAAATGTGTAGAACAAAGATAGCAATCCCAGACAGTAGTCCTATCCCAGTAGGCTGGGTTCCAAAGACTAATTAACTGAGAAAATGGGGTATTTCAACAATAAATTCTCTTCTGGAAAAAATTCTATGATCAGACACCTGAAGTTCAACCACTTAAACTAGAGTGAGACTCCTTGGAGAAATTATGGCCATAAAGTCAAACATTTATATTGCATCTTTCTTTGTGTTCTACTGACAGGACTTTATTTAGCAGTCAGGTTTCACCTAGTTAGCATTTCTAGAGTCTGAAAAGACTTGGGGCTCTGTATAAATCAGGCCACAGGGAGGCAAGAATTTAAAGGTCCAAACACATTAGTTGAGAAATTCTTAAGGCAATTCGTGGTAATTGTCCTACATATTCTGGAAACTATCTCTTGAGACATGTGGGGAAAGCTGGGAAGAATTCCATAGGCTGGCGCAAAATATTAAGCAGCTTACTGGTTTTTTCAAATGTCTCCTTGAAACTGACCTAATTCAATCATGTCTAGATAATTCACATTAAGTGGACACAGCCATTTTTGGACAGTCAAGAAGAGGAGAAAAGAGGGTGATTGCAACCAGGAAAAGAAAACATGCAACTGGAAAATCAGTACCAAAGAAAAAGGGAAGTATAGGGAGCTAGAAGAGAGGAACAGGATGGGAGATATCACTTCCCCCTGCTTTACTAGCCAGCACTTACAAAGCAAAGTAGACCTCATTTGTTTCCTGCACTGTGGGCCCAGTCTCACAGACATATCTGAGGATGATGAGTTTCTGGGCCATAAGCACAGTATCTGTTCATTTCTCTCATCCACATAAGCTAAGGATGCTTCTGGTGTCAAGTAATGGGCATAAAATATTGGTTTCATCCCCTCCCTCTCCTGCAAAACAAAACAAAACAAAACAAAACAAGAAATCCAAAATGAGGCAGTTGCTTGTATTAGTTCAACTACAAAATCAGGTCATTAAGGATTCCTTTCATCCTTGCATCCTGATGGTTTCCTACTTTCAAGATGTGGCTTATCATTCCTATACAAAATGACCAGGCAGCTCCAGCATAGCATCCCCATTTAAGGCAGAAAGAAGGCATGTTAGAAGAGATGTCAGTTGTACCTGTTTCTTAACAGAAAAGCAAGAATTGACTTGGAAGTCCTGCCATCAGACCTCTTCTTAGATTTCCTTGACCAGTCAGTGTCACATCACCACCACTAGCTGCAAAGGATACTGGAAAAGTAAAATAAGTTGGGACTGCATATCCCTGTCCTCTTGGCATTAGATGTGGTCATATGACTGGCATTCGTCCATGAAATGTGATACATGATTCCAGGTAAAAGCTGTAAGAGTGAGTGCTTTGTTTGCTACATACCCTCTTCTTTGGATGGACAAAGGTAATGTCCCAAATAGTGTCTGCTTTGTAAGTCTGGGTCCTGGTCTGAGGATGCCATGAAGTAGAGTCCCCAACCATCCTGTTAGGGACATGTAGCGTGAGAGAAAACTAAATCTTTGTTGTAATAAGCCACAAAGAATTTGAGGCTGTTACTTCAGCATCACTTAGCCTATG